AATCTTGTCGAACCTGCTGCACCCCCAGGGCAGAAAACATCCAACAGGGAAAATAACGGAGAAAATCCCTCCGGATGAATGCAATTGAATATCTAAAAACAGGAGGGTCAGATGGAAAGCTAGATTCCAAAAATTCTAAATCTAATGATGGTGATTTATCAGGAATTGATAGAATCCCATAAAGTCTGTAATCTCTGAACCCACTTATAGCAGAAACTTGACCATAGCATGATCAAGCCCTCTTTAATATTAAGGCCCTGTCCTCCCTCAAACAGGAAAGCGGCAAGGGCAAAGCATCCCATCAAGAAGGAAGCAAGTTCCGGATCATTGTTTCTAACTATTCAAAACTCCAGTAACAGGAAACCAGCAAAACAGTATGCAACTATACAATTCATGTTTTCAGGACTCATTCTCACACTATAATTACTTAAAAGAAATCCTTCTTTAGGAAATCATTGTATTGAGAGATTCTCAAGCCAACAATCTTGTTCCTTTTATGTTTTCTTTAAAGAAAGCTTAACTGATGGAATGAATAAGTGTTTATCCATTAATGGACAATGTCTGAAACGTATCTATAGTCATCTTTAGCCCGAAGATGAAAACAAATTATGAAACCCCCGTCATATTGTATATTTAACTGGAAACCTTAATTCTCCAACAGCGAAACGCTATTCTAAACGGAAAGGACAAAATTACCCATCAAATCACAAAACATCAAAAGAAAAGCTTTCGGCTTTATGTTGACAAGAGAGCATGGGTACCCAAGAAACACCCCCCACAAGGTTAAAACGCCAGATTAAGTTCCCAATCCCCAAACTGAATGAACAGATCAACAAAACGAACAAACTACCAACGCCAATAAACAGAAAGGGAGCAGAACATACAAGCATTAACAAGAATCCCGAAGAAAAGGGACCCATGCCGGAACCCATCTGCCAGGAATCATAAGGGTAGAGGTATATATAGAATTTCTCAGAATCCAAATGGTACTAAATCTGAGAAAGCAAGAGTTGGTTTAATTATTTAAGTAAAGGGGGAGTCTCAAATTAAGGCATCTGCCCCCAAAGATCCTTCACACGCGACTCCTTCACAGATCCAAAAGCTAAATATCGGGGTTATCAGTCTATACAGGAAACCCAGACCCTAATCTCTCTCGTTAAGTCTAAATCTAGTATACTAGAGGCGGAAAAATAACCGAATTCTTACCAAATAGAAGCAATTAAAATCTCTGATCTCGCAGCGAATTATCTTCTGTATATCTCAGTAAAAATAAGTCAAAAAGCGGAATAAAACCTCCAAAAGCGGAAGCCATCATAATCCTGTTATGCAAGCTCCCGATGCTCCAAGTCCCGTCACGATAGAGAACAAAAATCAGGTACTTAAATAAGGCATAGGCACGAACAGACTAAATAATTCAAGAATCCATCGAGTTCCAACAACAGGTTGAATGATCCAGAGTCCAGCTCTAACTTAGCAGGTTAGATATCTCAAAGAGATGATGCTAAAATCACGTAATGATTTTATTTTGTTTACTAGTCTAATAACCGCAGTCTCTCATGATATTATATATCGTAAAAGGGGTAAAAGAAACTGAGGAAGAATCCGACGAAAACAAAGCTGGTGCCAGCAATCGTCCGTCCAGACATAAAGCTGAATAACCAAACAGGACTTTTGGGCAACCTTTCCTTAGTCTGAGAAAGTTAAAATGGCAAAAACAAGCAGAAAAGAGAATAGTCCAAAAAGGACGCGAGGATAAATACCCAGCGTCGACCCAGGACGAGTTCACCACCACAATCAGCCCATGTTAATGAAATACGAAATTCCCGACTCTTTGTCGCAGCCCCTCCCACAAAATAGGCACAAAACAAATAGCCAACAATAAAAGGACAAAGATCAAATCGCAAACTTAAAGTCAAGGACCTCTCACTAGGGAACTGGTCAGAGCAAGCACATCCCCAATCTGAACCCCAAAGACGAGCCCACAAGCGAAGACAAACCCCCCCACCCGGCTACACCTAAATCACCAAGATGGATTAGTGACTCCCTCTAGTAGAAGCAAGTAAAACCCCCCAGTAACAGGAAAGACTTAGAGGGAACTAAACAATCCCCCCCCCAACAAAATTATTAAGGAAAGGACTAAGAGAAACAGGCGGTACATATACGGGCCTCCTAACGACAGCGGTCCAAGCCTGAACAAAATCCAAAAACCGACAAATCCAAACCCCAATGAGAGCAGTTCAGTACCTAAAATACCACAGTAAGAAACCCCCACACAAGTAAGAAAAAGACTAAATCTTACTGAAACATCCCCATGACCGTATCCATAACAGGAGAGGGAGTTAGATCAAAGAAGAAACTTCTCATGAACGTAATCATCCCGGAGAAGATCAACATGTCTCAAAAACTTCCCGCCTCTAACAGGCATCACCAACCGAAAGGACACCCTGACCCCTTAGCAAAACCAGCACCAGGGAAAACCTTAGCTAGAGGCTCAAGTATCAATAAGTCACAAGCCCAAACCTTCAAAGTCATACACCCGTGGAAAGGGGCTCCTCCCCCACGCAACCTACAAGCATGCGCGAAAGAGGACAGAGGAAGAAGCAGGCAAAGTCAAGGACACCCCCACAGAACTCGAACAATAGAAAGGATGAAATAGGAATAGTCAGAATTGGAACAGTTTCAAGGAGGTATCACTTCAAGACAACCAACAACGCGCAACCCCCCTACCTACAAATAGAACAACAAACCCCCGCAGCCGAAAAGAAACCAAAATTAAGCAGAAAGACTTAAGGAGAAGACCCGACCTAAGGAAGCAGCTAGATAATAAATCTCAGAACTCAAGACACAACTGGCCAAACCGGAGCCTTAAACAGCTCACAACCAAACCCTCCAAAATTAATAGAAACCGATTCAAGAAAAAAAAAACAATAAAAAATAAGAACGTCAAGGAGAAGACTAATCCCCCACGGCGCAGGTACCTCAATCCTCTAAACCTGCATGCGGCCACCCACCTCCAAAACACAGAAGCCAACCTTTCAAGGGCGGAAGAACAAAAATGCGAAGACAACAACAGGGACAAAATCCCCCAGTGACTACAAGCAGCCAAGATGAACCCAACCAGCGACTTCAGCAGAAGCATTAAAGGAAGGACCAGAAACGAAATGGTCGAAGTAAAACCTCAAATATCCCTCCGTCGGGTTAGAGTCAATTCAAAGGTTAGAACCAAAGGAGAAGGAACAATAAGCCACAACCAGACAACTTTAACAGATTCCAGGCTGATGAGGAGTCAGAACAGCCAAGTAATGTAGCGTGGAAAGCAGACTCCGGAAGGGAATAAAAGACAAACGGCACCTATCATAACGACGAAGCAGCGCCCCGGTATCATAACAACTACCAAGAACAAGGGTTAGAATCTCTCGTCACAAAGGACTAAGGCGGATGAAAGAGTAGATGAGCGAAAAAGGGAAGATAACTCCCTAAAACCGAAACAAACCCCCCAAAAACAAAAGACGAGAAGTCCTTCCTCAAATTTAGGAGCAGCATCGTACCAGTTCTTCGTCTAACGGAAACGCCACCTTCCCGGAGCCAAAACGCAGCTAAGTCTAGAGTTATGGAGCCCTCAAATAGCGATCAGATAATCACCCAGCAGGAATAACTGCCCAAGGAATGAACTCCCTCTGCTTTAAGAACCCAAAATCCCCTTACCCCCGCCTAACGAAATGGAGAGCTGCTCAAGTGAACACCTGCAACAGCAAACCGCGAGTCAAGAATGAGACGAAGGAGGGGAGTGAGTCAAGGAGCAGTTCCATTCAAACATAAAGCTGGCATAAAAGGAACAGAAACCGGCGCCGTGAGCGGGCGCACACTCAATCAGGCACTGGGAGAAATCGCACCAATTTCCAGAAGTCCACTGAAAATTGTCCTATGAAGGAGTTCAGCACTAGATCCGACTCCTTTAGCCAGATCTGGCAAAGAGCAGCTCATTGTACGAAGATGATATGACGAGGAGCCATCAAGCAAGAACCGAACAACGAACTAGAAAACTGGTAGAGAAATCGTAACACACCCAACGCCACGACTGAGGAAAACTCAGCAGCCCACAATCAATGACCAGAGCACGTGCAGGTATAAATCAAATGGACCCCCAGGAAGAGGCGCCATTCCTCAAGCAATTCTAAGTAGAGACCATAGAACCCCCAGGTACAGGCAGAAGATAGAACTAACGGATTCAAGTACATCTCGAAGCGACAGCAGAACACAGGGCGCCAGTTAGATCCTCAAAACCTTCCCAGACTCAGGTCCGCAGGAGGTGCTTAGGTAGAGTCTAAGGAGGTTCCAGTGACGCAGTATTAGGTACAACTAAGGGAAGAGAAAATATCTATCACAGCTCCGTCACCTCGAGACCGAGACAAGCCTAATACAGAAGTAACCATCCAGAAGCACTCCCAGATAAATCCAAAGACGACTCAGAGGCCAGGGGGTCGATGAGCATCCAGGGAGATTAGAACCCCCCCCCCAGAGACGCAACGAGATGTAAGAATCCCAGAGGAAGGGGGGGTAACTAGAGAGACGCCCACCTGGACAGATGGAGTTGGAAGTCGAAGCAGCGTGGTAGCTAGAAAAATGAGCTGAACCAATAAGGAACGGCCGAACTACTTCAGTTATTCTGAACAACCGAAGAGGACGAGGGTCTGAAGCCCAAGTCAAGAATGCCAAGAAGCGGAACAGAGGGAGTAGAGGAAGGGTAGCTGGGGCAAAGTAGGAGACAGAAACCCCACAGCACGACCCCACCCGGCCACTCAGGAGGAGGAGAAATGGGAGACAAGCAGATTCCGAAGGCCAGATTATTCTCTCTGAGAGGGGGGCAGTGGAACGGATCAGTAGGGCAAAGATATCCAAGTCTATCTCTCAAGCCTCAGACTTGGGACCTCCAGCCAAGAGTAATCACACCAGCAATCAGTAGGGAAGTGTCAAGTGAGTCTGAAAGGTTTAGCAGAGAGGAACAGGAACATTTGAAGAATATCCCAACAGCGAATCGGTCCCAGAGAATTAGATCAAGAGACGGAAAAAGGACGAGACAAATCTCTCAGGGAACTCCCAGGTTCGGATACATCAGAATAGATAATCCAGTCAAACAACCCCACCCCAGTACAGATCAGAACCATCAGGGCCCTGCCTTATGGAGGGTCACTAACGCCCAGATCGACTGCAGAGAGCGACACCGTCCCTGCAGTGTGGACCAGCGTTTGGAGAGGGGAAGAATCGGAGAGCCTCTAAGGACCAGTCTGAGGAACAAATTAAAATAAGGACAAGCATACGAGCACGAGGAGGGGGTCTAACCCAGGGGAGAGGCGGGGTACCCAACGGAGAGTCTTCATCCCGAGCCATCAGGGGTTGCTACCACTCAAGAGTAGGTCGCGGCAGATGATCATAAATCGGAAGGAGCCTTTCAAGGGGACAAAAGCACCAGACCATCAGGATATCACAGGAAACTAAGAAGCAGTAGGCGTGTAGAATCTAAAAGTAAAGCAGGCGGTAAGAAAGATTAACCCAAGAATTAGGAATAAAAGGGCATGGCAAGCTAAGGAAGTATCGCATGGTGTATGAAAATCATAAAGAGTAACCACCCCAAAGACCCGAATAGCGGGGGCCCATTCCACAGGTCCCAGAAAAGTCACGGAGAGGAAAGAGAAAATAGGGCAGGACGAACAGGAGTGATGCACGAGGTTCAGGGCCGCTCAACCCCCCCATAAACTAGAGATAGAGTAACAGCAGCAGAGCTGAGACGAAAAAGAACTAAGACTCCGTCCCCCCAAGCGGTGAACAGACCTGACCAGCCTCCATCAGCAGTGAGGAAGCGCCTGGTAGTGTAAGAAACTCCCCAGAGGAAGGGGACTGACAGGAAAATCGGAATCCTAGCCAGGAACTCCCTGAAAATAGAGGAGATCCAGATCCAAGAAGGCGTAGATATATGAACGGCGGTGAAGTCAGGAACCATTGACAAGTGCCGTACAGCGTGCCGATCGTTTCAGGAACGTGAGTCAGTAACCCTCAGCGAATACATCAATCGAAGGACAACGGGGAGAAGTCCACCATGTCTAAAGGCACATACTATGTCTGGTTCCCGTCCCCGAGAGAAATATTAACAGGGACGGAAGACTGTGAAATAAATCCAGGAGGCAAATATTGCTATCATATCCCCAGCCATACCAAACCGTATAATAGGATAAATCATGGAGTGTATGAGTGGCCTAGAACCCTAGGCATAGAGTACAGAGACTACAGTTTACAGAAGCAAGGTTTCATCCAGGGGGGATTGAGGATGCAAGAAACTGAAAGGAACGTGAGTTGGGAGGATGTGATAGACGGCATACTGAATCACAGTATAGGATCTAGTAAAAACAAAAAAAACAACAAAACAGACGACACGTATGTGGGCAAGATCGAGTCAAGATTTTGGAAGAGTTTCGTCCAAAACGCCGGGAAAGGACCTTGTGATAGAGCAGCCGATTGTCAGAAACTGTTACCATTCATTGGTTGCGTAGTCTATTGGTTATGGGGACAAGAGGAACGACTGATAAAGAGGGAGGCCAAGGCAGCTAAGGTCTGTGAGGAAGTGAAGAAAAGGATGATAGGAGGGAGTGACGGTGTAGAAATAATAGGCGATCACCAGTGGTCAAGAATACAAAGAGGCTCCAACAGCTGCCAAGGGAAAGACCAATACAAGAAATGTGCAGTAGAAGCCATAAGCCTGGTTTTAACAGTAGCGAACTCACTGAAGCAACTGTGTCCGGGCTGTCCCCAAACAGGTCTCGATAGTATCCTAGGGGACAAGATAAAATACGGCAGCTTTCCGTGCTTTAGGTACAAGACCATAGAAGGAGGATATGAAATATGTGAAGGAATAGGATCATGTGACAACTCTGGAGATGAGGAAGGCAGGAATTGCTACTGTGATCCAGCCCGTCAAGTCAGGATCTCAAGGCAAACGACAGATGACAGCCAAAGCGACCCTATAAAGGGCCCCCAGAGCCCGGAGGCCCCCAAGGCAAAGCAAGACGAAACAGGTGAGAGCCGGGGGGGGGGACACGAAGCACCAGCCAATCCAGACAAGCCAAGGCTACCAATAGTGAATCATTCCACCACCGGCAACTTACCAGCAACACTAGGAGAGGGGACCCAGAACACGAAAGGGGAAAAGGGACAGGAAGAGGGAGAAGTGATGAATATTTCCCAAAACAGCACGCCCGATGATTCAAGCACAGAACAGACAGATCAAAGGGGCAACAGGGAACCAACAATCACGAGAAAGGGGGAATTAGGACACGCATACACCCCGTTACCAGGCCCAGAACAAGGGGAAAAGCACAACCAGGTTAATCCGAATGTCCCCCAGGAAGTAGAGCAGATCAGTAATGATCGTCAGGGGGGATCCATAACAGGCGGCGTAATAGGGGGAGTAGTGGGACTTATCATGTTTCTGATGAGTGGTTACGGACTTTATCGTGTCTATAGAAAACCAACATTGAGCAGGAAGCAAATTCCACCTCAGCGTCAGGACTACAAAATAGCGTATATGAGACAATGAACTTGGGGACCCCTCCCGCCATCCCTATGGAGTGGCCAAAGGGACTACACTAGCCAGCAGGCAGGCGAGATTCGTCTAAAATCCTGTCTACCCCAACAGTAGCCAGGAGTTAGGATCATTCGGAATCTGCCAAGCCCCCAAGTATCATGACCCTCAGGACCAAATCCTCCACAAAAGATCGCAGGAACATCGGCCGAAAAAGTCAGGCGGAACAAGAGATACAGGCTAATACGACACACCCAAGTCACAGGACGGGGGGGCCCCCGGGACGCTGGACAGGGGAGCCTAAGAAACAACAGAGGATGGAGTACCGTCTAGGGGCAGTTATGGCCGTGAGAGTCAAGGGCCCATCATGAGACCCTGCCGCGCCCCCACTGGGACGGCGGCTGGGAGTAAAAGCATAGCAGAGGCACAACGACAATGGGGGGCAGTAGTACCTGACATCAAGGGTTTAAGCGGACATAGACCCAGCTGGAGACACCCCCGGTGAAAAGAAGTCAAGTGCCCACCTCAACCATCGTTAGCGAAGGAAAATCAACACGACCCCATCACTTCTGAGTGGAGTCTAAGAGGTGCAGACATGTGGTCGGGGAGAAACAGCAAGGGTCTGCCAAGAAGCTAATCTGGACACGACGTCCACCGATGGGGTCACCCCTCGGGGCCCCTCATAACAACGGGACCACAGAGGAACCCCCCACTCGGCTGAGCCAGGGTACGATCCAGCCGAAGTACCCGGGAGTATAGGTCCCCGCCGCCGGAACAGTGCAAAGGGCATAGTCAGCATCTCCTATGGTTTCAGGCACGGATCCCCCAGGAGGTTAGCGGGAGAATTCGAGTAAGGCGGGATCAGGGGAAAGAGGGAAGGGAAGCCCAGTGCTCAAAATCTGATACTTCTGACAAACACTCACTACAGGTTGGCAGGGGAAGATTTAGGAGTTACTCAACTAAGGGGCGCAGCCGCAGCGGCAGTTTTGATCGTGATATGCCCCCCGTAGTTGGGGCCCACGCGGCGAGCCACGTCGTAGGGGACCTGATTAAGGATCCTGGGATACGATTTAAGAGGCAGGACCGGGTCAGTCATAGCTGGGGTCATAAATTCGGGGTTTTCGCTTAGGATTTCATGTTTAGGTTTCAGGGTTTAGGGTTCTGGGTTTAGGGGTCAGGATTTAGGGTTTAGGGTTCAGGGTTCAGGGTTCAGGTTTAGGGTTCAGGGTTTAGGGTTTAGGCTTCAGGGTTTAGGGTTCAGGTTTAGGGTTTAGGGTTTACGGTTCAGGGTTCAGGTTTAGGTTTCAGGGTTAGGTTTAGGATTCAGGTTTTCAGGGTTCAGGGTTCAGGTTTAATATTCAGGGTTTAGGGTTCACGGTTTAGGGTTCAGGGTTCAGGTTTAGGGTTCAGGGTTCAGGTTTAGGTTTAGGGCTGGGGGGTCAAGGGGTCAGGTTGCACCATTCTGGCTTCAGGGTTCATGGTCTAGGGCTCAGGGTTCACTGTTTAGGTTCAGGTTCTAGGGTTCAGGGTTCACTGTTTAGGTTCAGGTTCTAGGGTTCAGGGTTCAGCTACGATTTCTTATGGTCAGGGTGGAGGGGTCAGGGGCCAGTTGTTCATTTTCAGGTTTTATCTTTAGGATTTACTTTTCAGGCTTAGTCTTCAGCGTTCAGGGGTTACGGTTCTCAGTTCCTGTCTCAGGGATCATGGTTCGATTTTAGGTTTCATGGCTTAGGGTTTAGGGTTTAGTCTTATGGTGTAGTCTCCATGGGTTACGGTGTACTTTTGATGCTTTAGTGTCCAGGGACTTTTGGTTAGTTGTCAGGTCCTATTCTATCATGATTAGTGGATTAGTTTGCAGGATTCCTCGTTTTGTGTTGTGCCTTTAGGGCCTAGGCTCTAGTGGCTAGTGCTGTGTCTCTAGTGTCGAGGGAGTTGGGTCTTATTCTTCAGCGTAGAGCTGCTGTTCTTGGGTTCAGGTCCAGAGAAGCTGTTCCCGTGCTTAGGGGTCAGGGGTCTTTTTCTGTTTTTTGTTCTTACCGATTAGGGCTCAAGGCTATTTGGAGTGTTCATGGTTTAGGTCCCATGGGGGAAGGCTTACATTTCATGGCTCACCCTCTATTGTCGAGGGTTATGTTTCAGGTTTTAAGGTGTAGTTTTATGCAGTGGGGGCTTAAGGTTTACGGATTGGGATTCTATGATCCAGTACCTTGAGTTTTCGGAGGTTAGGCGATAATTTTTATCTTTTTGGGTCCCTTTTAGCACAAGGTTGCCGGATCATGATTTAGGGAGATGTCATTTTGCCTCATGCTTTGCCTTTAGGATTTAGTTCTGATTGTCCAATTGCCTCGAATTGACTTGTATGGCTCACGGTTTATGGTCTACATGTTATAGATTCTGGGGTATCGGCTCCTTGATAACTCTGGTTTGATTGTCTGTTTTGTCTACGTGCTGGTGCCTATACCTCATGACTTAGCTTGGTTCATTGGGGTTCTATCTTTCAGGGCATATGCTGTCCTGGGGGGGCCTTATCATGTGTGTTCTTGGG